TATTCATCCATCCTTATTACACTTCCTTTTTTTATCCATTTATTATTTTTATTATTTTGTACCCCGTTTCTTTTTCTAGCCTGCTTCTCTTCTTCCTTGCCAAAGGGGCGCGACGGGGTCGTATGAGGTCACTCCACGGAGAAAAGGCGAGGAGGATCCGCATCCGCACAAGCAGTACAGCATTCCCCAAACGAGCACGAGACAAAAACAACAAGCAAACATCAGAAGGTGCACAGACAGAAGAAAAAAAAACAGTAATAAACGACAGTGCAACCATGCAGAACTCCCAGAAAAGGGGACAAGAAGGTGAAAATATATACTCAGAAACACGTACCTGAATCAGCACACACTAAAACAACAGAGATATGCGTTCAGACAAAAAAGACATCAAGCTTCCTTCATTTTCTTTGCTTTACTTGGTTTCCATCAATGCCACTCAAGAAAACCAAGAAAAGTATACAACAACTAAAAAAAAAAAAAAACAGCATGAAACAACAAAAACAGTACATTGAAAGCGTAGAAGCAGTCTAAAACCCACGGAACTCGGCCTGTTGTGCAGCGGTTAAGGGCGACGCACGATCTTCTTGGCTTTCAGGGTAACGCTCAAAGTTACTCGTGTCACCAGGGTTCTTTACCTTCACAGGGATCGGGGCAGGGTAGTGTCGCGCATACAATTTGTCCCAGTTTGCCCCGTGAAAGTACGGGTGATTCTTCACATCCATTATGCCATCCTTTAGTGTCCCCAAACGCTTCGTGTGGTCCGTTTGCAGCAAACCCTTCACAAGATCCCGCGCACGCGCGTCAAACCAGTTCGGGAACTTGAAGCGTCCAGAGAGAATCTTCTCGTACGTCCGAAACGGCGTGTCATCGTAAAACGGGGGATACCCAGCGATAAATTCGTACAGCAAAATGCCCATCGTCCACCAGTCCACGGCCTTTCCGTGACCCTTGCTCTGGATCACCTCCGGCGCAAGGTACTCCGGTGTGCCACAAAGTGTAAAGGTACGTTCCGGCACTTTCTTCGCAAACCCAAAGTCTGTCACCTTAACGTGACCCTTGCTGTCCAGCAGAAGATTCTCCGGTTTCAGGTCGCGGTAGATGATGTCTTTCCCGTGAATGTATTCAAAGGCAAGCACAAGTTCCGCGTGGTAAAACTTTGCTACGTCGTTTGGAAACCGGCCGGCAGAGCGAAGGTGGGTAAACACCTCTCCGCCTATCACAAACTCAAGCACCAAATACACACAGCGTTCATCCTGGAAGGAGCACAACATGTTCACAATAAACGGGTGTGAGAGCTCCATTAGAATCTGCTTTTCTTGGCTGAGATGTTGGACCTGTTTCATCTTGATGATCTCACGCTTCTTGAGGCACTTCACTGCGTAGTAGTTATTCGTTCCTTTCAGCTTCCCGAGGCGTACGCGCCCAAAGGAACCTGTCCCTAACGTCGCTCCCAGCTCAAGGTCTGATAGCTTCCATTTT